CTTTATCCCCTTGAACACATATTATTCTTTGAAAAACTAATTGGAGTTTAAGTAAGCCAATTACTAATCTGAGTAAAGACTAGGAATATATTGAGTTTGCTGCTTAGGTTGTGATCTGGTGCTGTAGCGTCGCAGCCCTTTGTCGTTGATTGATTGCCAGAGGTTGCTCAACCGACAGCAAGACGTAACATGGCTGCGATATTTCTCATTGCGACGTTTACTCACTCACTCATCACTCAGTCAACACACAATAAGCGTTAGAATAGGTCTTCAGCAACTCATGCTGAGAGGCGATTAACGAGATCGGGTGGTCAGGCTCGATTGATTCATGTCATCGTATCCCAATTGACTAGATCGATGCTTATGATGTCAATCACAGGATTGTCTGGCCCATGCTCTATTATTTACACCCCGCTGTCATATTGCTGACATATTGCTGAGTGCGTCGTGAAACAAACGAACAAACAAAGTAACAATATAAAAAATAACCGATTATATAGAAATATATATCTTTAATCGCACATCGTCCGAACCGAAAAATCAGTGCATAGATAGGTGTACTTAACATGTATCTACATACTTTTAAAACATTCACATGTACAAACAATTCAATAGTCTACCACGAAAACAGTTTGGACGGACTGTTGACACAAATAAATAAATCAACAAATGATAATTACATAACAGTTTGTTCAATGTATACAAATGGCGTGTTCATCGCACAAGTGTTAACACAAATAATTATGCTTCAAACAGTTGTTGTCATTGTTACCAATAGTTACGAAACAACACTGGTAAAGAAATAAATCAATATAGATAAATACAAAAAAAATATTTATAGATTTCATTTTTAAAAAGTTCATATTAAACCCCGCAACATTATTGATCCCATTGCCCTTACGCCAGGGTGAGATACGTGTGGAAGGTGCTAGTAATCATGTGATCATCTTTAACTTTAACGAGTGGGATACCAAACCTCACTGTTTGATTTCGATCAGGAATACTTGTAATACTTGTCCAAAATTATGTTTGTATATATGATAAATATAAAGGAACATTTTCCCCTGCACACAGAACATTGGATCAATGAAAGAAAGAAATTTTGATTTTTTTTTAGTATTCGTCATATGTATTAGATTGACAACGTTTCTCTACAGCTGACAGATCAATGCACACTTTCGATACGTAAACAATGTGTTTTTTGGCCCATGTCCTTGGCATCTATTTGGCCCTTGGCATCTATCCAAGGATTTCACAATCGCAATGACAGCGTTATCATTTACCTACCAAAGAGTACCTAAGGACCATTGTAGTATCGTCATAAACATTATTTCGAGTTAAATTGGCTTCGAGCTAAGGATGTGTTGCTGTACACTGTAGATACATTCCCCTTTTTTCCTTTAATCAAGCATACACGCATGTGTTGAACCCCTTCACCAGGAATCGCTATCGTGCTTTGCAGTGGTATTCAGATCAACGAATGTTACATCGTAATATTGTTCACTGTTTTCTCATTGCGAATGTTGGATCGTAATATGATTCACTTTATTCTCATTGCGAATGTTGGATCGTAATATGATTCACTTTATTCTCAGGGCGAATGTTTGATCGTAATATGATTCACTTTATTCTCAGGGCGAATGTTGGATCATAATATGATTCACTTTATTCTCAGGGCGAATGTTCGATCGTAATATGATTCACTTTATTCTCAGGGCGAATGTTGGATCATAATATTATTCACTTTATTCTCAGGGCGAATGTTGGATCATAATATTATTCACTTTATTCTCAGGGCGAATGTTGGATCGTAATATTATTCACTTTATTCTTAGGGAGGATGTTTGATCATAATATTATTCACTTTATTCTCAGGGCGAATGTTGGATCGTAATATTATTCATTTTATTCTCAGGGCGAATATTAGATCATGATATTATTCATTTTATTCTCAGGGCGAATGTTGGATCATAATATTATTCACTTTATTCTCAGGGCGAATGTTGGATCATAATATTATTCACTTTATCCTCAGAGAGCCAGCATTCATCCATAGGCCTTGGTCAGTTCCAGTACGAATTGTCAGTGCTTGCAACCTCTACAACAACTTAGGGATATTGAAACTGAAGGCCGTGGTGTGTACAGTTTGTACTGTCAGTGATGTTTGACCTGCAGGTGTATCGCCCTTAACGAGCATGACAGGACGATAGATGTTACTTTTAACTCGACGTACCTGTAAACAGTGAGTGGGTGAGTGAGTTGGATTTAACGCCGCTTTTAACAATATTACAGTTATATCGAGGCGTGTCAGCTTAATGTGGGAGGAAAGTCCGAAGTGATGCAGGTCTCGGACGTTTACCACTTCGGTGAAGTCCCACGAGCACGGGTATGGTGCTGACAAACCTAGAAACATAATCGGGGCGAACCGGGATTATAACCCACAATCATAGGTTTCTGGCGTGCCCAAGGGACGTAATTCTGCACAGTGAATCGCGGCGCCTTACACGACTGGGCCACCCGTGCCCCCACGTGTAAACAGAGGAAGAGAAGTTGTTGCACATATTGATTAAACTGGCATTGCAACTCCTTTTATTTTATTTGGCCTGAAATGCAATGTAGGTGGTCGAAAAAGTTATAAAAACAACAACTTCCAGATTACTACTTCTAGTAATGAATGAAGATCCATTCGTTCGTCGCACCAGCACAGAAAAACGACTGCGAAACGATACGGAAATATTATTTGATTGGTTTTTTTTTAGAAAAGATATGTTTGAACTATTATTCACCGTTTCTTAGGTCGGCCAGTATTCTTTGGTCAAAGGGCATTTATTACTTTTCTATTTTCAGATTTTATAGGGTCTCATATGGATATTCATATCTCTGTCACATGGCAACGAGTTGAGTGAAATGTAAGCAACAAACAGCGTTTTCAGTGAGACCTCGGACGTGCACGTATATTTACTAAATTGCTTATGAAATGTTTTTTGAATTCTCGTGCAAGATAATTTAAATAATTCTTTCTTTTCAGATGTTTTGTTTCAATTATACTACAAAAAACAACCAAAACATACATTTAAAAGTGGTTCGAGTCAACTTGAGGAAACGAAATCAATATTATGGATTCCATAGTTCAAGGAAATCTATGTTCGCTGTTTCGTAAGTATCCGACTTGAACAAACACAAATATCTAGCACCGTCTGTAGTTTGAATCCATATGAAAGTGTACCCCTGAACAATGGGCAGAACATTTAAGTATTAATTTTACTTTTTCAGATCTACATTCGTGATGAAGAAAGCAAATAAATATCTTGTATCAGCAGCAGAGATGTCACGTATTATCCTGTGATATTTCTTTGTTGCCTTCATAGCGAGTTGTTCTCAAGCACATCGTTACAGCAAGCACACAGGCAATTAGATATTAATTATGAAAACGTTAAATGTTACATAGTACACTAGCCCACATCACATAGTAGATTAGTCTATATCAAATCGGGCAACCCATTGTGACATCAATGTGCCACTGCCCTATGTAACATCTATATAATCCCATGTAACATCGTATGATATCTCCATGTAACATCGTATGATATCCCATGTAACACCGTATCACATCCCAATATAGCATATCACGTCTCCTTGTAACATTGTATCACATCCCTATGTAGCATCGCTTTGCATCTCCATGTAACATCATATCACAGCGATGTAACATCAAAAATCTGCCCTTTGTAACATCATGTCACATCGTTCTTTCCCCTATGTACCCTCGTACCCTTCCCTATGTAACATCATATATCATCTCTATGTAATAGAGAAAATAATTCCCATGTATATAATATAGAAAATAAATATTCCCATGTAACAGTCATGTAACATTACCATTCCTGCCTATCAACATTAAAAGGACAAGAAGTCGTTAAAATGTCCTTATTTCAGTTCAGTATACAGCAATATCACAAACAGGCTTTATCACAGTTAACAAATATACAACAGAAAATTACACTTTCAAACAGATCACAGTTACAGCCGAAGTCTTCAAACTGTAACACTTGCTGTGGCTGGATGCTCGACCTTGGATGTAGAAACCCACAGCAGACTCCTCCCACACAAAGTAGCAGCACAGAACTCAATATCCACTTTTTTCAACACTACCACCCTGGTCAGTGTAATCATCACCCATCTCACAAGAACTAGTGGTGTTTTCCTAAGCGCTATATACAAATAGCTACACTGGTGTCGTTGACGCGTGGTATGTACACAGTCTTCAGCCTTAGGACCTAGCCGTGAGCTGGTGTGCTGGCGACATCATGGAGATCACGAATACACAACAGAGCCTTGGATCCTGGTATTCAAAACCAAGTGTTCTGGCCCCCGTTCCACAAAGCAATCCCAGAGATAAGACGATCTTTACTCCCATACTTTAACATAAACATACGACAGTCGTAGCGCTAAGATCGTTTTGTGGAACGGGCCCCTGGCCCTGCCTGAGCTACGATATAGTGGAAGACTACGGTATAACAATAACCTTATAAAGAGCTGCTTACTGGTAGAGGCGTGTCAGAAAGTCTGAGGTTTTTACAACCGTCCAATAGGATACCAGAGAGGATTTGTCGACTGACTATTGACTTTAACCACCGGGTAAAAGAAAGTATATATTTGGAAATTGGATTTGTCCAACATATTACAGACATGATCAAAACGTTGGGTAACTAGTTCACCGAAACATGTCAAAGTTAAGGTCCAAAAACCACTATTATACATCACCATCGAACAACCATTTCTTGTTTGTTTCATTTTTTGGCACCGTCAAACATGGTTGTACGTTCTTTTCCCGGCAGTTTATGAGTCAGTGAGTAATGTTTAACGCCGCTTTTAATAGTATTCCAGTTATATCGCGGCGTGTCAGCTTAATGTGGGAGGAAAGCCCGAAGTGATGCAGGTCTCGGACGTTTACCACTTCGGTGAAACCCCTCGAGCTCGGGTATGGTGTGGCCAAACCTGAAACATATTCGGGGCGAGCCGGGATTCGAATCCACCATCATAGGTTTCTGGCGTGTCCAAGGGACGCAACTCTACACAGTGAATCGCGGCTCCTTTGACCACTGGGCCACCCGTGCCCCGTCAGTGTATGAACGATGACACATCTGTTAACGCGATACAACCAGACACAGGGTTTAAGTGTGGCCTATACGACAAAGAGCGACAAACACCTTGTGAACATGGACGACCATTAGGCCACATTAAAAAATATGACAATCTTAAAGCCACGACCATCTTGTAAATATAAAATGTCAACGCCAGAGAATAACCAGTCTCGATAAGCACTGAGACACATCTTGACCAAACACCAGGAATCCAGCTGCTATGGAAGCACTATTCTGTTTACACTGTCAGAGAACCCAGGTCTCCGACTGAATCCTTACACGTGACAATGTTCCATTCCGCATGGAGTAAAGGCCTTTATGTGATAATTGCAACTTCATTGACTGACACTACAGGAAGCGTTCCCAGAAACTTCCTCTCTTATTGAATCTTTGGTCTGGGGTTGAACTTAATTGCTGCCACACTGTCCGGTACCTCGATGTCGGGGTAGATTCTGTTCATGTTATATCTGGCCGTGTTCATCATTTTCTTGATGGCTTTAACTATATAGAACCCAGCAAGCAGCACTCCTCCTCCCGCGAGCGTTGCTGCAACTCCAACCCCGATGTAGTATGTCTTTTCTGGACAGGTGTCCGCTGGAGCTAGTGTGGTGCCCTGGAATAGATTGAAACACTCTTGTAATTGATATCAACTATTTTATATCATGGCAATAAATTTGTATTTTATCAATTTGGATTCCAATAATCAGTTAGTCAATACGTTTTTACTTAAACGAATTAAATATTTACAAAATGTCCTTGTAATACAGTGCATGGACATTTGAGAATTATACTATTGGAAAGGTTTTGCTAATAAATAACTCACGCACTGCGTAGTTAAAATGAGAAGAGCGTTTTAGTAAACAAAAGAAGACATGATTCATGATGTCAATTGTTGAATTCCTTTAATTAATATGATACATACATGCAATTGTGATACATACACTGGTGGAATTTATATAGTGGTGTATGTAAATATTAGTCATTACGTATTATGCTAGAGACCGACCACGTGATGGTGTCTGGTAGGATCAGAGATTAAAAACATTTGTTCCAGAAAATAATGGAAAAAAATAAGTTTTATCCCACACATTCTTCACTAGACATGCCTGCAAAAAAGGGCTGAAAACAATAAAAATGGCTCCTCCTTTCAAAGACATAACTGTTTTGAATCAATGACCGAAAAGCATATCCTGATACGTTTCTTGAGTGCATGTAGAAGCCACACATTTTCCATATAGATTATAGGATAATCTCTTGTTATAGCCTTATGCAGAACATCAACTACACATTAATCTTCCCAGATCGGTATCTAGCATGAACAGTTAATCGTCATTAACTTTACTTGATTACATCAGTAGAAACTCCAAAAAGTTAACTTACCACAGCAGTTTTATAAGTTATTAAAGTCAATTAGCACGTTATGATATCCACATCAACAATAAATTTGTATTTTATCAAATTTGGATTCCAATAATCAGTTAGTCAATACGTTTTTACTTAAACGAAATAAATATTTACAAAATGTCCTTATAATACAGTGCATGAACATTTGAGAATTATACTATTGGAAAGGTTTTGCTAATAAATTGTCAAATTAGTCTTACACAAGGTTGGTTCAAGTAGTCTTTTCAGCTTTACAAAGGGTATAAAACTAAACTTATAATTATCATTTTAACTTAAACCATACAAAATAAAAGATCAGTTGTGTTAAGCTTTGCAATGGAGTATCTAAAAATTCAAATATATATTTGAACTTTACCACATAGGTATAAAGTATACTATTCAATTGTCAATTACGCTTACCAAAGCAGTTGTTGTATTTGTTGTCTGTAGCGCCGTGGTGACGCCGGTTGAGGTTGTGGCTGGTGAGGTTGACATATTAGATGTCACTGCAGTTACTGTCGTGGCAGATGTTTCGTTGGGCGTTCCTGGAACCGTGGTCCACGTGGGGGATAGAGAGGGTGGGGATGTGTATGATACACTGGGGCCTGGACTAGAGACTGAACTTGTGGTCTTTCCAGTTGATGTAGGCGTCCTTGTGATTGTTGGCGTTGTCTTTGTGCTTGTAACTGTTGTCCTTGACGATGGGGATGTTGTGGAGTATGTTGGTGTTGCAGTTGTCACAGCACTGCTTGAGCTGGTGAATTTAGTCGCAGTTTGGCTTAATGTTGTGGAAAATGTGGTTGGTTGGACAGAGGACGAAGGTGTTGCTGAATCTGTGGATCCGCCAGGGGTTATGCTGCTGGCTGTAGATGTTGCCGATGTTGTTTTTGGAGGCGATGTCGTTGTTGATAATGTACTGGTTGATTGAGATGTTGGTCTTGATATCGAAGTTGAGGAGGTAATCGATGTTTTACCTGTGGTCTGTGAAGAAGCGGTTGTGGAGCGACCAGATGTAATTATGTGGGAAAGAGTTGATCCAGGGTAAATAGGAGATGTAGGCCCTGTCTTTGTCGTGGCTGATGATTCCGTAGATGATTCTGTAGTTGGAACACTGGTAGCGCCTGTCACTGTCGGTTCAGATGATTCTGTAGTTGGAACACTGGTAGCGCCTGTCACTGTGGCTTCAGATGATTCTGTAGTTGGAACACTAGTAGCGCCTGTCACTGTCGCTTCAGATGATTCTGTAGTTGGAATACTAGTAGCGACTGTCACTGTCGCTTCAGATGATTCTGTTGTTGGAACACTGGAAGCGCCTGTCACTGTCGCTTCAGATGATTCTGTAGTTGGAACACTAGTAGCGCCTGTCACTGTCGCTTCAGATGATTCTGTAGTTGGAACACTAGTAGGCCCTGTCACTGTCGGTTCGGATGATTCTGTTGTTGGAACACTAGTAGGCCTTGTCACTGTCGCTTCAGATGATTCTGTAGTTGGAACACTGGTAGCGCCTGTCACTGTCGCTTCAGATGATTCTGTAGTTGGAACACTAGTAGCGCCTGTAACTGTCGCTTCAGATGATTCTGTAGTTGGAAAACTAGTAGCGCCTGTCACTGTCGCTTCAGATGATTCTGTAGCTGGAACACTAGTAGCGCCGGTCACTGTCGGTTCAGATGATTCTGTAGTTGGAGCACTAGTAGCGACTGTCACTGTCGCTTCAGATGATTCTGTTGTTGGAACACTAGTAGCGCCTGTCACTGTCGCTTCAGATGATTCTGTAGTTGGAACACTAGTAGGCCCTGTCACTGTCGCTTCAGATGATTCTGTTGTTGGAACACTGGTAGCGCCTGTCACTGTCGCTTCAGATGATTCTGTAGTTGGAACACTAGTAGCGCCTGTCACTGTCGCTTCAGATGATTCTGTAGTTGGAACACTAGTAGGCCCTGTCACTGTCGGTTCGGATGATTCTGTTGTTGGAACACTAGTAGGCCCTGTCACTGTCGCTTCAGATGATTCTGTAGTTGGAACACTGGTAGCGCCTGTCACTGTCGCTTCAGATGATTCTGTAGTTGGAACACTAGTAGCGCCTGTAACTGTCGCTTCAGATGATTCTGTAGTTGGAAAACTAGTAGCGCCTGTCACTGTCGCTTCAGATGATTCTGTAGTTGGAACACTAGTAGCGCCGGTCACTGTCGGTTCAGATGATTCTGTAGTTGGAGCACTAGTAGCGACTGTCACTGTCGCTTCAGATGATTCTGTTGTTGGAACACTAGTAGCGCCTGTCACTGTCGCTTCAGATGATTCTGTAGTTGGAACACTAGTAGCGCCTGTCACTGTCGCTTCAGATGATTCTGTAGTTGGAACACTAGTAGCGCCTGTCACTGTCGCTTCAGATGATTCTGTAGTTGGAACACTAGTAGCGCCTGTCACTGTCGCTTCAGATGATTCTGTAGTTGGAACACTGGTAGCGCCTGTCACTGTCGCTTCAGATGATTCTGTAGTTGGAACACTAGTAGGCCCTGTCACTGTCGCTTCAGATGATTCTGTAGTTGGAACACTAGTCGCAGATGTAGTTTCCAAGGTGCTTGACGTTGCACTTGTTGCTTCTGTTGAAGTAGTTTCCTCGGAAACTGTGGAAGCTTGAGATGTGGTCATCTCCGTCTGGGTAGAGGTGGGGCTAGTAGTTACCTCTGTTGTACTTTCCTCTGTCGCAGATGTAGTTTCCAAGGTGCTTGACGTTGCACTTGTTGCTTCTGTTGAAGTAGTTTCCTCGGAAACTGTGGAAGCTTGAGATGTGGTCATCTCCGTCTGGGTAGAGGTGGGGCTAGTAGTTACCTCTGTTGTACTTTCCTCTGTCGCAGATGTACTTTCCAAGGTGCTTGACGTTGCACTTGTTGCTTCTGTTGAAGTAGTTTCCTGGGAAACTGTGGAAGCTTGAGATGTGGTTACCTCCGTCTGGGTAGAGGTGGGACTAGTAGTTACCTCTGTTGTACTTTCCTCTGTCGCAGATGTACTTTCCAAGGTGCCTGACGTTGCACTTGTTGCTTCTGTTGAAGTAGTTTCCTCGGAAACTGTGGAAGCTTGAGATGTGGTCATCTCCGTCTGGGTAGAGGTGGGGCTAGTAGTTACCTCTGTTGTACTTTCCTCTGTCGCAGATGTACTTTCCAAGGTGCTTGACGTTGCACTTGTTGCTTCTGTTGAAGTAGTTTCCTGGGAAACTGTGGAAGCTTGAGATGTGGTTACCTCCGTCTGGGTAGAGGTTGGACTAGTAGTTACCTCTGTTGTACTTTCCTCTGTCGCAGATGTACTTTCCAAGGTGCTTGACGTTGCACTTGTTGCTTCTGTTGAAGTAGTTTCCTCGGAAACTGTGGAAGCTTGAGATGTGGTCATCTCCGTCTGGGTAGAGGTGGGGCTAGTAGTTTCCTCTGTTGTACTTTCCTCTGTCGCAGATGTACTTTCCAAGGTGCTTGACGTTGCACTTGTTGCTTCTGTTGAAGTAGTTTCCTCGGAAACTGTGGAAGCTTGAGATGTGGTTACCTCCGTCTGGGTAGAGGTGGGACTAGTAGTTACCTCTGTTGTACTTTCCTCTGTCGCAGATGTACTTTCCAAGGTGCTTGACGTTGCACTTGTTGCTTCTGTTGAAGTAGTTTCCTCGGAAACTGTGGAAGCTTGAGATGTGGTCATCTCCGTCTGGGTAGAGGTGGGGCTAGTAGTTACCTCTGTTGTACTTTCCTCTGTCGCAGATGTAGTTTCCAAGGTGCTTGACGTTGCACTTGTTGCTTCTGTTGAAGTAGTTTCCTCGGAAACTGTGGAAGCTTGAGATGTGGTCATCTCCGTCTGGGTAGAGGTGGGGCTAGTAGTTACCTCTGTTGTACTTTCCTCTGTCGCAGATGTACTTTCCAAGGTGCTTGACGTTGCACTTGTTGCTTCTGTTGAAGTAGTTTCCTCGGAAACTGTGGAAGCTTGAGATGTGGTTACCTCCGTCTGGGTAGAGGTTGGACTAGTAGTTACCTCTGTTGTACTTTCCTCTGTCGCAGATGTAGTTTCCAAGGTGCTTGACGTTGCACTTGTTGCTTCTGTTGAAGTAGTTTCCTCGGAAACTGTGGAAGCTTGAGATGTGGTCATCTCCGTCTGGGTAGAGGTGGGGCTAGTAGTTACCTCTGTTGTACTTTCCTCTGTCGCAGATGTACTTTCCAAGGTGCTTGACGTTGCACTTGTTGCTTCTGTTGAAGTAGTTTCCTGGGAAACTGTGGAAGCTTGAGATGTGGTTACCTCCGTCTGGGTAGAGGTGGGACTAGTAGTTACCTCTGTTGTACTTTCCTCTGTCGCAGATGTACTTTCCAAGGTGCTTGACGTTGCACTTGTTGCTTCTGTTGAAGTAGTTTCCTCGGAAACTGTGGAAGCTTGAGATGTGGTCATCTCCGTCTGGGTAGAGGTGGGGCTAGTAGTTACCTCTGTTGTACTTTCCTCTGTCGCAGATGTACTTTCCAAGGTGCTTGACGTTGCACTTGTTGCTTCTGTTGAAGTAGTTTCCTGGGAAACTGTGGAAGCTTGAGATGTGGTTACCTCCGTCTGGGTAGAGGTGGGACTAGTAGTTACCTCTGTTGTACTTTCCTCTGTCGCAGATGTACTTTCCAAGGTGCTTGACGTTGCACTTGTTGCTTCTGTTGAAGTAGTTTCCTCGGAAACTGTGGAAGCTTGAGATGTGGTCATCTCCGTCTGGGTAGAGGTGGGGCTAGTAGTTACCTCTGTTGTACTTTCCTCTGTCGCAGATGTACTTTCTAAGGTGCTTGACGTTGCACGTGTTGCTTCTGTTGAAGTAGTTTCCTCGGAAACTGTAGAAGCTTGAGATGTGGTCATCTCCGTCTGGGTAGAGGTGGGGCTAGTAGTTACCTCTGTTGTACTTTCCTCTGTCGCAGATGTACTTTCCAAGGTGCTTGACGTTGCACTTGTTGCTTCTGTTGAAGTAGTTTCCTCGGAAACTGTAGAAGCTTGAGATGTGGTCATCTCCGTCTGGGTAGAGGTGGGGCTAGTAGTTACCTCTGTTGTACTTTCCTCTGTCGCAGATGTACTTTCCAATGTGCTTGACGTTGCACTTGTTGCTTCTGTTGAAGTAGTTTCCTCGGAAACTGTGGAAGCTTGAGATGTGGTCATCTCCGTCTGGGTAGAGGTGGGGCTAGTAGTTACCTCTGTTGTACTTTCCTCTTTCGCAGATGTACTTTCCAAGGTGCTTGACGTTGCACTTGTTGCTTCTGTTGAAGTAGTTTCCTCGGAAACTGTGGAAGCTTGAGATGTGGTTACCTCCGTCTGGGTAGAGGTGGGACTAGTAGTTACCTCTGTTGTACTTTCCTCTGTCGCAGATGTACTTTCCAAGGTGCTTGACGTTGCACTTGTTGCTACTGTTGAAGTAGTTTCCTCGGAAACTGTGGAAGCTTGAGATGTGGTCATCTCCGTCTGGGTAGAGGTGGGGCTAGTAGTTACCTCTGTTGTACTTTCCTCTGTCGCAGATGTACTTTCCAAGGTGCTTGACGTTGCACTTGTTGCTTCTGTTGAAGTAGTTTCCTGGGAAACTGTGGAAGCTTGAGATGTGGTTACCTCCGTCTGGGTAGAGGTGGGACTAGTAGTTACCTCTGTTGTACTTTCCTCTGTCGCAGATGTACTTTCCAAGGTGCTTGACGTTGCACTTGTTGCTTCTGTTGAAGTAGTTTCCTCGGAAACTGTGGAAGCTTGAGATGTGGTCATCTGCGTCTGGGTAGAGTTGGGGCTAGTAGTTACCTCTGTTGTACTTTCCTCTGTCGCAGATGTACTTTCCAAGGTGCTTGACGTTGCACTTGTTGCTTCTGTTGAAGTAGTTTCCTCGGAAACTGTGGAAGCTTGAGATGTGGTTACCTCCGTCTGGGTAGAGGTGGGACTAGTAGTTACCTCTGTTGTACTTTCCTCTGTCGCAGATGTACTTTCCAAGGTGCTTGACGTTGCACTTGTTGCTTCTGTTGAAGAAGTTTCCTCGGAAACTGTGGAAGCTTGAGATGTGGTCATCTCCGTCTGGGTAGAGGTGGGGCTAGTAGTTACCTCTGTTGTACTTTCCTCTGTCGCAGATGTACTTTCCAAGGTGCTTGACGTTGCACTTGTTGCTTCTGTTGAAGTAGTTTCCTCGGAAACTGTGGAAGCTTGAGATGTGGTTACCTCCGTCTGGGTAGAGGTTGGACTAGTAGTTACCTCTGTTGTACTTTCCTCTGTCGCAGATGTACTTTCCAAGGTGCTTGACGTTGCACTTGTTGCTTCTGTTGAAGTAGTTTCCTGGGAAACTGTGGAAGCTTGAGATGTGGTCATCTCCGTCTGGGTAGAGGTGGGGCTAGTAGTTACCTCTGTTGTACTTTCCTCTGTCGCAGATGTACTTTCCAAGGTGCTTGACGTTGCACTTGTTGCTTCTGTTGAAGTAGTTTCCTCGGAAACTGTGGAAGCTTGAGATGTGGTTACTTCCGTCTGGGTAGAGGTGGGACTAGTAGTTACCTCTGTTGTACTTTCCTCTGTCGCAGATGTACTTTCCAAGGTGCTTGACGTTGCACTTGTTGCTTCTGTTGAAGTAGTTTCCTCGGAAACTGTGGAAGCTTGAGATGTGGTTACCTCCGTCTGGGTAGAGGTGGGACTAGTAGTTACCTCTGTTGTACTTTCCTCTGTCGCAGATGTACTTTCCAAGGTGCTTGACGTTGCACTTGTTGCTTCTGTTGAAGTAGTTTCCTCGGAAACTGTGGAAGCTTGAGATGTGGTCATCTCCGTCTGGGTAGAGGTGGGACTAGTAGTTACCTCTGTTGTACTTTCCTCTGTCGCAGATGTACTTTCCAATGTGCCTGACGTTGCACTTGTTGCTTCTGTTGAAGTAGTTTCCTCGGAAACTGTGGAAGCTTGAGATGTGGTTACCTCCGTCTGGGTAGAGGTGGGACTAGTAGTTACCTCTGTTGTACTTTCCTCTGTCGCAGATGTAGTTTCCAAGGTGCTTGACGTTGCACTTGTTGCTTCTGTTGAAGTAGTTTCCTCGGAAACTGTGGAAGCTTGAGATGTGGTCATCTCCGTCTGGGTAGAGGTGGGGCTAGTAGTTACCTCTGTTGAACTTTCCTCTGTCGCAGATGTACTTTCCAAGGTGCTTGACGTTGCACTTGTTGCTTCTGTTGAAGTAGTTTCCTCGGAAACTGTGGAAGCTTGAGATGTGGTCATCTCCGTCTGGGTAGAGGTGGGGCTAGTAGTTACCTCTGTTGTACTTTCCTCTGTCGCAGATGTACTTTCCAAGGTGCTTGACGTTGCACTTGTTGCTTCTGTTGAAGTAGTTTCCTCGGAAACTGTTGAAGCTTGAGATGTGGTTACCTCCGTCTGGGTAGAGGTTGGACTAGTAGTTACCTCTGTTGTACTTTCCTCTGTCGCAGATGTACTTTCCAAGGTGCTTGACGTTGCACTTGTTGCTTCTGTTGAAGTAGTTTCCTCGGAAACTGTGGAAGCTTGAGATGTGGTCATCTCCGTCTGGGTAGAGGTGGGGCTAGTAGTTACCTCTGTTGTACTTTCCTCTGTCGCAGATGTACTTTCTAAGGTGCTTGACGTTGCACTTGTTGCTTCTGTTGAAGTAGTTTCCTCGGAAACTGTAGAAGCTTGAGATGTGGTCATCTCCGTCTGGGTAGAGGTGGGGCTAGTAGTTACCTCTGTTGTACTTTCCTCTGTCGCAGATGTACTTTCCAAGGTGCTTGACGTTGCACTTGTTGCTTCTGTTGAAGTAGTTTCCTCGGAAACTGTGGAAGCTTGAGATGTGGTCATCTCCGTCTGGGTAGAGGTGGGGCTAGTAGTTACCTCTGTTGTACTTTCCTCTGTCGCAGATGTACTTTCCAAGGTGCTTGACGTTGCACTTGTTGCTTCTGTTGAAGTAGTTTCCTCGGAAACTGTGGAAGCTTGAGATGTGGTCATCTCCGTCTGGGTAGAGGTGGGGCTAGTAGTTACCTCTGTTGTACTTTCCTCTGTCGCAGATGTACTTTCCAAGGTTATTGACGTTGCACTTGTTGCTTCTGTTGAAGTAGTTTCCTCGGAAACTGTGGAAGCTTGAGATGTGGTTACCTCCGTCTGGGTAGAGGTGGGACTAGTAGTTACCTCTGTTGTACTTTCCTCTGTCGCAGATGTACTTTCCAAGGTGCTTGACGTTGCACTTGTTGCTTCTGTTGAAGTAGTTTCCTCGGAAACTGTGGAAGCTTGAGATGTGGTCATCTGCGTCTGGGTAGAGTTGGGGCTAGTAGTTACCTCTGTTGTACTTTCCTCTGTCGCAGATGTACTTTCCAAGGTGCTTGACGTTGCACTTGTTGCTTCTGTTGAAGTAGTTTCCTCGGAAACTGTGGAAGCTTGAGATGTGGTCATCTGCGTCTGGGTAGAGGTGGGGCTAGTAGTTACCTCTGTTGTACTTTCCTCTGTCGCAGATGTACTTTCCAAGGTGCTTGACGTTGCACTTGTTGCTTCTGTTGAAGTAGTTTCCTCGGAAACTGTGGAAGCTTGAGATGTGGTTACCTCCGTCTGGGTAGAGGTTGGACTAGTAGTTACCTCTGTTGTACTTTCCTCTGTCGCAGATGTACTTTCCAAGGTGCTTGCCGTTGCACTTGTTGCTTCTGTTGAAGTAGTTTCCTCGGAAACTGTGGAAGCTTGAGTTGTGGTCATCTCCGTCTGGGTAGAGGTGGGGCTAGTAGTTACCTCTGTTGTACTTTCCTCTGTCGCAGATGTACTTTCTAAGGTGCTTGACGTTGCACGTGTTGCTTCTGTTGAAGTAGTTTCCTCGGAAACTGTAGAAGCTTGAGATGTGGTCATCTCCGTCTGGGTAGAGGTGGGGCTAGTAGTTACCTCTGTTGTACTTTCCTCTGTCGCAGATGTACTTTCCAAGGTGCTTGACGTTGCACTTGTTGCTTCTGTTGAAGTAGTTTCCTCGGAAACTGTGGAAGCTTGAGATGTGGTCATCTCCGTCTGGGTAGAGGTGGGGCTAGTAGTTACCTCTGTTGTACTTTCCTCTGTCGCAGATGTACTTTCCAAGGTGCTTGACGTTGCACTTGTTGCTTCTGTTGAAGTAGTTTCCTCGGAAACTGTGGAAGCTTGAGATGTGGTCATCTCCGTCTGGGTAGAGGTGGGGCTAGTAGTTACCTCTGTTGTACTTTCCTCTTTCGCAGATGTACTTTCCAAGGTGCTTGACGTTGCACTTGTTGCTTCTGTTGAAGTAGTTTCCTCGGAAACTGTGGAAGCTTGAGATGTGGTTACCTCCGTCTGGGTAGAGGTGGGACTAGTAGTTACCTCTGTTGTACTTTCCTCTGTCGCAGATGTACTTTCCAAGGTGCTTGACGTTGCACTTGTTGCTTCTGTTGAAGTAGTTTCCTCGGAAACTGTGGAAGCTTGAGATGTGGTTACCTCCGTCTGGGTAGAGGTGGGACTAGTAGTTACCTCTGTTGTACTTTCCTCTGTCGCAGATGTACTTTCCAAGGTGCTTGACGTTGCACTTGTTGCTTCTGTTGAAGTAGTTTCCTCGGAAACTGTGGAAGCTTGAGATGTGGTTACCTCCGTCTGGGTAGAGGTGGGATTAGTAGTTACCTCTGTTGTACTTTCCTCTGTCGCAGATGTACTTTCCAAGGTGCTTGACGTTGCACTTGTTGCTTCTGTTGAAGTAGTTTCCTCGGAAACTGTGGAAGCTTGAGATGTGGTCATCTCCGTCTGGGTAGAGGTGGGGCTAGTAGTTACCTCTGTTGTACTTTCCTCTGTCGCAGATGTACTTTCCAAGGTGCTTGACGTTGCACTTGTTGCTTCTGTTGAAGTAGTTTCCTCGGAAACTGTGGAAGCTTGAGATGTGGTTATCTCCGTCTGGGTAGAGGTGGGGCTAGTAGTTACCTCTGTTGTACTTTCCTCTGTCGCAGATGTACTTTCCAAGGTGCTTGACGTTGCACTTGTTGCTTCTGTTGAAGTAGTTTCCTCGGAAACTGTGGAAGCTTGAGATGTGGTCATCTCCGTCTGGGTAGAGGTGGGGCTAGTAGTTACCTCTGTTGTACTTTCCTCTGTCGCAGATGTACTTTCCAAGGTGCTTGACGTTGCACTTGTTGTTTCTGTTGAAGTAGTTTCCTGGGAAACTGTGGAAGCTTGAGATGTGGTTACCTCCGTCTGGGTAGAGGTGGGACTAGTAGTTACCTCTGTTGTACTTTCCTCTGTCGCAGATGTACTTTCCAAGGTGCTTGACGTTGCACTTGTTGCTTCTGTTGAAGTAGTTTCCTCGGAAACTGTGGAAGCTTGAGATGTGGTCATCTCCGTCTGGGTAGAGGTGGGGCTAGTAGTTACCTCTGTTGTACTTTCCTCTGTCGCAGATGTACTTTCCAAGGTGCTTGACGTTGCACTTGTTGCTTCTGTTGAAGTAGTTTCCTCGGAAACTGTGGAAGCTTGAGATGTGGTTACCTCCGTCTGGGTAGAGGTGGGACTAGTAGTTACCTCTGTTGTACTTTCCTCTGTCGCAGATGTACTTTCCAAGGTGCTTGACGTTGCACTTGTTGCTTCTGTTGAAGTAGTTTCCTCGGAAACTGTGGAAGCTTGAGATGTGGTCATCTCCGTCTGGGTAGAGGTGGGGCTAGTAGTTACCTCTGTTGTACTTTCCTCTTTCGCAGATGTACTTTCCAAGGTGCTTGACGTTGCACTTGTTGCTTCTGTTGAAGTAGTTTCCTCGGAAACTGTGGAAGCTTGAGATGTGGTTACCTCCGTCTGGGTAGAGGTGGGACTAGTAGTTACCTCTGTTGTACTTTCCTCTGTCGCAGATGTACTTTCCAAGGTGCTTGACGTTGCACTTGTTGCTTCTGTTGAAGTAGTTTCCTCGGAAACTGTGGAAGCTTGAGATGTGGTCATCTCCGTCTGGGTAGAGTTGGGGCTAGTAGTTACCTCTGTTGTACTTTCCTCTGTCGCAGATGTACTTTCCAAGGTGCTTGACGTTGCACTTGTTGCTTCTGTTGAAGTAGTTTCCTCGGAAACTGTGGAAGCTTGAGATGTGGTTACCTCCGTCTGGGTAGAGGTGGGACTAGTAGTTACCTCTGTTGTACTTTCCTCTGTCGCAGATGTACTTTCCAAGGTGCTTGACGTTGCACTTGTTGCTTCTGTTGAAGTAGTTTCCTCGGAAACTGTGGAAGCTTGAGATGTGGTCATCTCCGTCTGGGTAGAGGTGGGGCTAGTAGTTACCTCTGTTGTACTTTCCTCTGTCGCAGATGTACTTTCCAAGGTGCTTGACGTTGCACTTGTTGCTTCTGTTGAAGTAGTTTCCTCGGAAACTGTGGAAGCTTGAGATGTGGTTACCTCCGTCTGGGTAGAGGTGGGACTAGTAGTTACCTCTGTTGTACTTTCCTCTGTCGCAGATGTACTTTCCAAGGTGCTTGACGTTGCACGTGTTGCTTCTGTTGAAGTAGTTTCCTCGGAAACTGTGGAAGCTTGAGATGAGGCCATCTCCGTCTGGGTAGAGGTGGGGCTAGTAGTTACCTCTGTTGTACTTTCCTCTGTCGCAGATGTACTTTCCAAGGTGCTTGACGTTGCACTTGTTGCTTCTGTTGAAGTAGTTTCCTCGGAAACTGTGGAAGCTTGAGATGTGGTCATCTCCGTCTGGGTAGAGGTGGGGCTAGTAGTTACCTCTGTTGTACTTTCCTCTGTCGCAGATGTACTTTCCAAGGTGCTTGACGTTGCACTTGTTGTTTCTGTTGAAGTAGTTTCCTGGGAAACTGTGGAAGCTTGAGATGTGGTTACCTCCGTCTGGGTAGAGGTGGGACTAGTAGTTACCTCTGTTGTACTTTCCTCTGTCGCAGATGTACTTTCCAAGGTGCTTGACGTTGCACTTGTTGCTTCTGTTGAAGTAGTTTCCTCGGAAACTGTGGAAGCTTGAGATGTGGTCATCTCCGTCTGGGTAGAGGTGGGGCTAGTAGTTACCTCTGTTGTACTTTCCTCTGTCGCAGATGTACTTTCCAAGGTGCTTGACGTTGCACTTGTTGCTTCTGTTGAAGTAGTTTCCTCGGAAACTGTGGAAGCTTGAGATGTGGTTACCTCCGTCTGGGTAGAGGTGGGACTAGTAGTTACCTCTGTTGTACTTTCCTCTGTCGCAGATGTACTTTCCAAGGTGCTTGACGTTGCACTTGTTGCTTCTGTTGAAGTAGTTTCCTCGGAAACTGTGGAAGCTTGAGATGTGGTCATCTCCGTCTGGGTAGAGGTGGGGCTAGTAGTTACCTCTGTTGTACTTTCCTCTTTCGCAGATGTACTTTCCAAGGTGCTTGACGTTGCACTTGTTGCTTCTGTTGAAGTAGTTTCCTCGGAAACTGTGGAAGCTTGAGATGTGGTTACCTCCGTCTGGGTAGAGGTGGGACTAGTAGTTACCTCTGTTGTACTTTCCTCTGTCGCAGATGTACTTTCCAAGGTGCTTGACGTTGCACTTGTTGCTTCTGTTGAAGTAGTTTCCTCGGAAACTGTGGAAGCTTGAGATGTGGTCATCTCCGTCTGGGTAGAGGTGGGGCTAGTAGTTACCTCTGTTGTACTTTCCTCTGTCGCAGATGTACTTTCCAAGGTGCTTGACGTTGCACTTGTTGCTTCTGTTGAAGTAGTTTCCTCGGAAACTGTGGAAGCTTGAGATGTGGTTACCTCCGTCTGGGTAGAGGTGGGACTAGTAGTTACCTCTGTTGTACTTTCCTCTGTCGCAGATGTACTTTCCAAGGTGCTTGACGTTGCACTTGTTGCTTCTGTTGAAGTAGTTTCCTCGGAAACTGTGGAAGCTTGAGATGTGGTCATCTCCGTCTGGGTAGAGGTGGGGCTAGTAGTTACCTCTGTTGTACTTTCCTCTGTCGCAGATGTACTTTCCAAGGTGCTTGACGTTGCACTTGTTGCTTCTGTTGAAGTAGTTTCCTCGGAAACTGTGGAAGCTTGAGATGTGGTTACCTCCGTCTGGGTAGAGGTGGGACTAGTAGTTACCTCTGTTGTACTTTCCTCTGTCGCAGATGTACTTTCCAAGGTGCTTGACGTTGCACTTGTTGCTTCTGTTGAAGTAGTTTCCTCGGAAACTGTGGAAGCTTGAGATGAGGCCATCTCCGTCTGGGTAGAGGTGGGGCTAGTGGTTACCTCTGTTGTACTTTCCTCTGTCGCAGATGTACTTTCCAAGGTGCTTGACGTTGCACTTGTTGCTTCTGTTGAAGTAGTTTCCTCGGAAACTGTAGAAGCTTGAGATGTGGTCATCTCCGTCTGGGTAGAGGTGGGGCTAGTAGTTACCTCTGTTGTACTTTCCTCTGTCGCAGATGTACTTTCCAAGGTGCTTGACGTTGCACTTGTTGCTTCTGTTGAAGTAGTTTCCTCGGAAACTGTGGAAGCTTGAGATGTGGTCATCTCCGTCTGGGTAGAGGTGGGGCTAGTAGTTACCTCTGTTGTACTTTCCTCTGTCGCAGATGTACTTTCCAAGGTGCTTGACGTTGCACTTGTTGCTTCTGTTGAAGTAGTTTCCTCGGAAACTGTGGAAGCTTGAGATGTGGTCATCTCCGTCTGGGTAGAGGTGGGGCTAGTAGTTACCTCTGTTGTACTTTCCTCTGTCGCAGATGTACTTTCCAAGGTGCTTGACGTTGCACTTGTTGCTTCTGTTGAAGTAGTTTCCTCGGAAACTGTGGAAGCTTGAGATGTGGTTACCTCCGTCTGGGTAGAGGTGGGACTAGTAGTTACCTCTGTTGTACTTTCCTCTGTCGCAGATGTACTTTCCAAGGTGCTTGACGTTGCACGTGTTGCTTCTGTTGAAGTAGTTTCCTCGGAAACTGTGGAAGCTTGAGATGAGGCCATCTCCGTCTGGGTAGAGGTGGGGCTAGTAGTTACCTCTGTTGTACTTTCCTCTGTCGCAGATGTACTTTCCAAGGTGCTTGACGTTGCACTTGTTGCTTCTGTTGAAGTAGTTTCCTCGGAAACTGTAGAAGCTTGAGATGTGGTCATCTCCGTCTGGGTAGAGGTGGGGCTAGTAGTTACCTCTGTTGTACTTTCCTCTGTCGCAGATGTACTTTCCAAGGTGCTTGACGTTGCACTTGTTGCTTCTGTTGAAGTAGTTTCCTCGGAAACTGTGGAAGCTTGAGATGTGGTCATCTCCGTCTGGGTAGAGGTGGGGCTAGTAGTTACCTCTGTTGTACTTTCCTCTGTCGCAGATGTACTTTCCAAGGTGCTTGACGTTGCACTTGTTGCTTCTGTTGAAGTAGTTTCCTCGGAAACTGTGGAAGCTTGAGATGTGGTCATCTCCGTCTGGGTAGAGGTGGGGTTAGTAGTTACCTCTGTTGTACTTTCCTCTGTCGCAGATGTACTTTCCAAGGTGCTTGACGTTGCACTTGTTGCTTCTGTTGAAGTAGTTTCCTGGGAAACTGTGGAAGCTTGAGATGTGGTTACTTCCGTCTGGGTAGAGGTGGGACTAGTAGTTACCTCTGTTGTACTTTCCTCTGTCGCAGATGTACTTTCCAAGGTGCTTGACGTTGCACTTGTTGCTTCTGTTGAAGTAGTTTCCTCGGAAACTGTGGAAGCTTGAGATGTGGTCATCTCCGTCTGGGTAGAGGTGGGGCTAGTAGTTACCTCTGTTGTACTTTCCTCTGTCGCAGATGTACTTTCCAAGGTGCTTGACGTTGCACTTGTTGCTTCTGTTGAAGTAGTTTCCTCGGAAACTGTGGAAGCTTGAGATGTGGTTACCTCCGTCTGGGTAGAGGTGGGATTAGAAGTTACCTCTGTTGTACTTTCCTCTGTCGCAGATGTACTTTCCAAGGTGCTTGACGTTGCACTTGTTGCTTCTGTTGAAGTAGTTTCCCCGGAAACTGTGGAAGCTTGAGATGTGGTCATCTCCGTCTGGGTAGAGGTGGGGCTAGTAGTTACCTCTGTTGTACTTTCCTCTGTCGCAGATGTACTTTCCAAGGTGCTTGACGTTGCACTTGTTGCTACTGTTGAAGTAGTTTCCTCGGAAACTGTGGAAGCTTGAGATGTGGTCATCTCCGTCTGGGTAGAGGTGGGGCTAGTAGTTACCTCTGTTTTACTTTCCTCTTTCGCAGATGTACTTTCCAAGGTGCTTGACGTTGCACTTGTTGCTTCTGTTGAAGTAGTTTCCTCGGAAACTGTGGAAGCTTGAGATGTGGTTACCTCCGTCTGGGTAGAGGTGGGACTAGTAGTTACCTCTGTTGTACTTTCCTCTGTCGCAGATGTACTTTCCAAGGTGCTTGACGTTGCACTTGTTGCTACTGTTGAAGTAGTTTCCTCGGAAACTGTGGAAGCTTGAGATGTGGTCATCTCCGTCTGGGTAGAGGTGGGGCTAGTAGTTACCTCTGTTGTTCTTTCCTCTGTCGCAGATGTACTTTCCAAGGTGCTTGACGTTGCACTTGTTGCTTCTGTTGAAGTAGTTTCCTGGGAAACTGTGGAAGCTTGAGATGTGGTCATCTCCGTCTGGGTAGAGGTGGGGCTAGTAGTTACCTCTGTTGTACTTTCCTCTGTCGCAGATGTACTTTCCAAGGTGCTTGACGTTGCACTTGTTGCTTCTGTTGAAGTAGTTTCCTCGGAAACTGTGGAAGCTTGAGATGTGGTTACCTCCGTCTGGGTAGAGGTGGGACTAGTAGTTACCTCTGTTGTACTTTCCTCTGTCGCAGATGTACTTTCCAAGGTGCTTGACGTTGCACTTGTTGCTTCTGTTGAAGTAGTTTCCTGGGAAACTGTGGAAGCTTGAGATGTGGTTACCTGCGTCTGGGTAGAGGTGGGGCTATTAGTTACCTCTGTTGTACTTTCCTCTGTCGCAGATGTACTTTCCAAGGTGCTTGACGTTGCACGTGTTGCTTCTGTTGAAGTAGTTTCCTGGGAAAATGTGGAATCTTGAGATGTGGTTACCTCCGTCTGGGTAGAGGTTGGACTAGTAGTTACCTCTGTTGTACTTTCCTCTGTCGCAGATGTACTTTCCAAGGTGCTTGACGTTGCACTTGTTGCTTCTGTTGAAGTAGTTTCCTCGGAAACTGTGGAAGCTTGAGATGTGGTCATCTCCGTCTGGGTAGAGGTGGGGCTAGTAGTTACCTCTGCAGTACTTTCCTCTGTCGCAGATGTACTTTCCAAGGTGCTTGACGTTGCACTTGTTCCTTCTGTTGAAATAGTTTCCTCGGAAACTGTGGAAGCTTGAGATGTGGTCATCTCCGTCTGGGTAGAGGTGGGGCTAGTAGTTACCTCTGTTGTACTTTCCTCTGTCGCAGATGTACTTTCCAAGGTGCTTGACGTTGCACTTGTTGCTTCTGTTGAAGTAGTTTCCTCGGAAACTGTGGAAGCTTGAGATGTGGTTACCTCCGTCTGGGTAGAGGTGGGACTAGTAGTTACCTCTGTTGTACTTTCCTCTGTCGCAGATGTACTTTCCAAGGTGCTTGACGTTGCACTTGTTGCTTCTTTTGAAGTAGTTTCCTGGGAAACTGTGGAAGCTTGAGATGTGGTCATCTCCGTCTGGGTAGAGGTGGGGCTAGTAGTTACCTCTGTTGTACTTTCCTCTGTCGCAGATGTACTTTCCAAGGTGCTTGACGTTGCACTTGTTGCTTCTGTTGAAGTAGTTTCCTCGGAAACTGTGGAAGCTTGAGATGTGGTTACCTGCGTCTGGGTAGAGGTGGGGCTAGTAGTTACCTCTGTTGTACTTTCCTCTGTCGCAGATGTACTTTCCAAGGTGCTTGACGTTGCACTTGTTGCTTCTGTTGAAGTAGTTTCCTCGGAAACTGTGGAAGCTTGAGATGTGGTTACCTCCGTCTGGGTAGAGGTTGGACTAGTAGTTACCTCTGTTGTACTTTCCTCTGTCGCAGATGTACTTTCCAAGGTGCTTGACGTTGCACTTGTTGCTTCTGTTGAAGTAGTTTCCTCGGAAACTGTGGAAGCTTGAGATGTGGTCATCTCCGTCTGGGTAGAGGTGGGGCTAGTAGTTACCTCTGTTGTACTTTCCTCTGTCGCAGATGTACTTTCCAAGGTGCTTGACGTTGCACTTGTTGCTTCTGTTGAAGTAGTTTCCTCGGAAACTGTAGAAGCTTGAGATGTGGTCATCTCCGTCTGGGTAGAGGTGGGGCTAGTAGTTACCTCTGTTGTACTTTCCTCTGTCGCAGATGTACTTTCCAAGGTGCTTGACGTTGCACTTGTTGCTTCTGTTAAAGTAGTTTCCTCGGAAACTGTGGAAGCTTGAGATGTGGTTACCTCCGTCTGGGTAGAGGTGGGATTAGTAGTTACCTCTGTTGTACTTTCCTCTGTCGCAGATGTACTTTCCAAGGTGCTTGACGTTGCACTTGTTGCTTCTGTTGAAGTAGTTTCCTGGGAAACTGTGGAAGCTTGAGATGTGGTTACCTCCGTCTGGGTAGAGGTTGGACTAGTAGTTACCTCTGTTGTACTTTCCTCTGTCGCAGATGTACTTTCCAAGGTGCTTGACGTTGCACTTGTTGCTTCTGTTGAAGTAGTTTCCTCGGAAACTGTGGAAGCTTGAGATGTGGTCATCTCCGTCTGGGTAAAGGTGGGGCTAGTAGTTACCTCTATTGTACTTTCCTCTGTCGCAGATGTACTTTCCAAGGTGCTTGACGTTGCACTTGTTGCTTCTGTTGAAGTAGTTTCCTCGGAAACTGTGGAAGCTTGAGATGTGGTTACCTCCGTCTGGGTAGAGGTGGGACTAGTAGTTACCTCTGTTGTACTTTCCTCTGTCGCAGATGTACTTTCCAAGGTGCTTGACGTTGCACTTGTTGCTTCTGTTGAAGTAGTTTCCTCGGAAACTGTGGAAGCTTGAGATGTGGTCATCTCCGTCTGGGTAGAGATGGGGCTAGTAGTTACCTCTGTTGTACTTTCCTCTCTCGCAGATGTACTTTCCAAGGTGCTTGACGTTGCACTTGTTGCTTCTGTTGAAGTAGTTTCCTGGGAAACTGTGGAAACTTGAGATGTGGTTACCTCCGTCTGGGTAGAGGTGGGACTAGTAGTTACCTCTGTTGTACTTTCCTCTGTCGCAGATGTACTTTCCAAGGTGCTTGACGTTGCACTTGTTGCTTCTGTTGAAGTAGTTTCCTGGGAAAATGTGGAAGCTTGAGATGTGGTTACCTCCGTCTGGGTAGAGGTGGGACTAGTAGTTACCTCTGTTGTACTTTCCTCTGTCGCAGATGTTCTTTCCAATGTGCTTGACGTTGCACTTGTTGCTACTGTTGAAGTAGTTTCCTCGGAAACTGTGGAAGCTTGAGATGTGGTCATCTCCGTCTGGGTAGAGGTGGGGCTAGTAGTTACCTCTGTTGTACTTTCCTCTGTCGCAGATGTACTTTCCAAGGTGCTTGACGTTGCACTTGTTGCTTCTGTTGAAGTAGTTTCCTCGGAAACTGTGGAAGCTTGAGATGTGGTCATCTCCGTCTGGGTAGAGGTGGGGCTAGTAGTTACCTCTGTTGTACTTTCCTCTGTCGCAGATGTACTTTCCAAGGTGCTTGACGTTGCACTTGTTGCTTCTGATGAAGTAGTTTCCTCGGAAACTGTGGAAGCTTGAGATGTGGTCATCTCCGTCTGGGTAGAGGTGGGGCTATTAGTTACCTCTGTTGTACTTTCCTCTTTCGCAGATGTACTTTCCAAGGTGCTTGACGTTGCACTTGTTGCTTCTGTTGAAGTAGTTTCCTCGGAAACTGTGGAAGCTTGAGATGTGGTCATCTCCGTCTGGGTAGAGGTGGGGCTAGTAGTTACCTCTGTTGTACTTTCCTCTGTCGCAGATGTACTTTCCAAGGTGCTTGACGTTGCACTTGTTGCTTCTGTTGAAGTAGTTTCCTGGGAAACTGTGGAAGCTTGAGATGTGGTTACCTCCGTCTGGGTAGAGGTGGGACTAGTAGTTACCTCTGTTGTACTTTCCTCTGTCGCAGATGTACTTTCCAAGGTGCTTGACGTTGCACTTGTTGCTTCTGTTGAAGTAGTTTCCTGGGAAACTGTGGAAGCTTGAGATGTGGTCATCTCCGTCTGGGTAGAGGTGGGGCTAGTAGTTACCTCTGTTGTACTTTCCTCCGTCGCAGATGTACTTTCCAAGGTGCTTGACGTTGCACTTGTTGCTTCTGTTGAAGTAGTTTCCTGGGAAACTGTGGAAGCTTGAGATGTGGTTACCTCCGTCTGGGTAGAGGTGGGACTAGTAGTTACCTCTGTTGTACTTTCCTCTGTCGCAGATGTACTTTCCAAGGTGCTTGACGTTGCACTTGTTGCTTCTGTTGAAGTAGTTTCCTCGGAAACTGTGGAAGCTTGAGATGTGGTCATCTCCGTCTGGGTAAAGGTGGGGCTAGTAGTTACCTCTGTTGTACTTTCCTCTGTCGCAGATGTACTTTCCAAGGTGCTTGACGTTGCACTTGTTGCTTCTGTTGAAGTCGTTTCCTCGGAAACTGTGGAAGCTTGAGATGTGGTTACCTCCGTCTGGGTAGAGGTGGGACTAGTAGTTACCTCTGTTGTACTTTCCTCTGTCGCAGATGTACTTTCCAAGGTGCTTGACGTTGCACTTGTTGCTTCTGTTGAAGTAGTTTCCTCGGAAACTGTGGAAGCTTGAGATGTGGTCATCTCCGTCTGGGTAGAGGTGGGGCTAGTAGTTACCTCTGTTGTACTTTCCTCTGTCGCAGATGTACTTTCCAAGGTGCTTGACGTTGCACTTGTTGCTTCTGTTGAAGTAGTTTCCTGGGAAACTGTGGAAGCTTGAGATGTGGTTACCTCCGTCTGGGTAGAGGTGGGACTAGTAGTTACCTCTGTTGTACTTTCCTCTGTCGCAGATGTACTTTCCAAGGTGCTTGACGTTGCACTTGTTGCTTCTGTTGAAGTACTTTCCTCGGAAACTGTGGAAGCTTGAGATGTGGTCATCTCCGTCTGGGTAGAGGTGGGGCTAGTAGTTACCTCTGTTGTACTTTCCTCTGTCGCAGATGTACTTTCCAAGGTGCTTGACGTTGCACTTGTTGCTTCTGTTGAAGTAGTTTCCTGGGAAACTGTAGAAGCTTGAGATGTGGTCATCTCCGTCTTGTTAGAGGTGGGGCTGGTAGTTACCTCTGTTGTACTTTCCTCTTTCGCAGATGTACTTTCCAAGGTGCTTGACGTTGCACTTGTTGCTTCTGTTGAAGTAGTTTCCTCGGAAACTGTGGATGCTTGAGATGTGGTTACCTCCGTCTGGGTAGAGGTGGGACTAGTAGTTACCTCTGTTGTACTTTCCTCTGTCGCAGATGTACTTTCCAAGGTGCTTGACGTTGCACTTGTTGCTTCTGTTG